GGTTCCTTGAGGCCTGAGGGGAAGAATTTGATGGAGATGTCCATTTGGGGTTGAGTGTTCCAAGGTCTGTTATTCTTTGCATTAATGTCTGGCTATGGTTCTATATTTGTTCCCATCTGCTGCAGGAGGAAGCTTCTCTGATGATGGCTAAGCAAGGTGCTGATCATGAGCACAGCAAAATGCCATTAGGAATATTTTTATTGCTATGTTGCTTTTTTTTTTTTTTAACAACAGAAAGAGTGTAAGAGCCAGAGGAGAAGAAAGACACCAAGAAAACAAGACCCTCTAAATCAATGTTACATATGAACTCAGAGATTGAGGCAGCATGTATAGGGCCTATGCAGGTTTGCATCAGGTCCTTTGTGTATATATTATGGCTTCGAATTTGTGTTTTTTATGTGATTCCTGAGTGTGCCAAGGAGCGGGTCTCTGGTTCTTGTGCCTTCTCTTGAACTCTTTTCCTTCTGTTTTGTCCAATTCCAATCTGTTAATTTTTGTTTTAGCTTATATTTTATTATTACCCCTTAGAAACCTGTTTGTTTTCCAATGAGAGACAAAGAGGGAGTGGAGCCAGGTGGGGGAGGGGAAAGGTGGGAAGAAACTAGGAGAAGTAGAGGGAGGGGAAATCATAATCAGGGTATATTAAGTGAGAAAAAAATATATTTTCAATAAAAGGGGATAAAGGGAAAAAAAAAACCAAGTACTGAATGTTATACAAAACTCTTACCCACATCCTTCTCCATAGACTGTTCTATAGAATAACCATTTACATTCCAATTTCCTTAGTCCTTATAATTCATAAACATACTGCCAATCAAAAGTGGTTATTATAAACTTACTAAAATAAAAGTACTAGGTTATACACTAATATTGAAAGATGATTAAGATACACTTTTAACAAATGAAGATCTGAAGTTTAGAGGCAGGAGTGGTTCCAGGAGTTGGAGGGCTAGTGGGGAGAGGATATAAATCTAAATACATTACATTCATATGTAAAATTACTAGAGACTGTATAATTAAAAATGAAATTTAAAACCATGTCCAAATGAAAAAGATAAGTTTTTGATGACTTCTAAACATTACTTTTCAGCTTGGTACACAAGTCATTCATTGACCAGGATTTCAAATCCTACTCACATTAGATCTCAAAGTAAAGAGAGTAAAAGACGCAGTGGTTAGGGCATAATGTTTTTTCTTTCTCATTTAAAAAAAAAATTAAGAGAAAAGACACCACACTGTTGTCCAGACAAACCTCTAATTTAAAATCTGCCTGCTTCAGTCTCCCAAGTAGTTGGGATACTGGAATTACAGACAAGCAGTACCACAGCTGATGGGCCATCATTTTTCACAGAAATAAATTTTTAAGAGTAGAAATCAGTTCAAATGAAAGGAGAATTAATAATACTGAACTTGTATGCTATCTTACTAATTTTAATATGAAAGAAGCTAAAGATTATAAATGTGCCTCTACTCTTTAATCAACCTATACATACATGTCAAAACGTTTCCAATTACCTCCAAAAATGTTTAAGTAATTCAGACTTACAGACTGCACACTTCAGAATTTTAGAGTTTGGTGTTTTCTAAATGACCTCTATTATCAGATTTGAATGGAAGCATATATAAGATATGAAATGTGAAGTTTTCTAACAAAACTATTTTCAAAGAATATTTTCTGATATTTGAATAAAATTAAGTATAAAGTTTTGTTATTTTTATTCCTCAGTTGCACTTCAAACATTCAAAATAATGACCTATAGACTAGAGATGTAGCTCAGTTGGTAGAGAGCTTTCTGGCATGAACAAAGGCCTGGGTTATCCCCAGTATTTTATTAGCATATATTAATTATACATGTTTATTGTTTTAAGTAATGTTTTTATTAATTCTTTGAGACTTTTTCACAATGTATTTTGATTAACATAATCATTAACATAATAGTGTGGGGTCCCCTCACAACTTCTCCCTGATTCACCTACCTGCTCACCCAACTCTGGTTTTCCTTCTCTCTTTTTTTAAAACCATCAAGTCCAGTTTGTACTAGCCACCTACTAGTGGGTGTGGGGCCTGCCTTGGAGTGTGGTCAATATGCCAGGGGTAATACCATTAAAAAAAAAATCTCTCAGCAGCCGGCAAAAGCCAATAGCTCCCCAGCTAGGGATGGGAATTCATGCCCACATCCACAATGGGATTCTATCTGGCTGGAGCTTGCTCAGGTCTTATGCATGCTGACACAATCACTATGAGTTCATATATGCAACTTCCCACTGTGTCTAATTATACAAAATAAATTTTACTATGACATTTCATGCATAATGTACATATGTACATAATTTATTGTGCTCCTATTCACCAATTAACTAAACATCTTTTAAAGTACTAAAACTGTCTTGTCTAATATTTTATTATGACTTAGTACTGAAGAAATGACGAAAAGAAAGTGCATATGAAGAATATATAAAGTGTGTACAATTGAAGACATTAGCAAACATCACTTATATAATGAGCTGTTACATTTCAAGGACAAGGACGAGGCCAGCCACCAGTTTTCAGGTCACAACAGACAAGGTCAAATAACATTTCAAATGTCACATGGAAAGAATAAAATATTGTTTAACAGAAATATAATTCATATCACATCACCTAATTCCCCATGGAATGCCTTCAAGGTTCAAAATACCATACAGAAAAAAAATAGTGCATAAAATAACTGTGAATCACTTATAAATTATAAGCTCATATTTGAGACACAGGATTTGAGACACAAGATTAAATATACAGTGTCATATAAGAGAAAAACATGTCAGATGTATTCAATGTATATTTTCTAATTTAGTAGACATATTTTAGCATGTGGTACTCCTGAATACACCAAACTACTGTGAATTCTAACAATAAAATTCTACCAAATATGGTAATTTGTTGGCTGAATCTTTAAAGAGAAATAGCCAGGGCCAGTGAAATGGCTCAACAGATAAAGATGCTTGCCACCAAGCATGACAACCTAAACTATATTCCCAAGACACATAGCGGAAGTGGGGATCTGACTCCTATAAGACATCCTCTGACCTGGACAGTGGGGTGTGGTACTAACATAACTTGCCCCTACAAACACTCAAACACACACACACACACACACACACACACACACACACACACACACACACACACACTAAATAAATGTAAAAAAATTAAATGAAATAAAGAAAACAGAAGTAGCCCTCAAGAAAACCAAGTTTCTAAACATTACGTTCCAACACTGCTCTTTGAATACTCGGGCAGCAGTAGGACTCTAATTCTACCCCAAAAGACTAAATTTGTTAAAGTGAACATTATGTGCCATATCCTTAGAGAACTGACTTGCTACTGCAGTGACCAAGAAGGTAATCAGATGAAAGAAAGAAGCAAAAACAATGGGGGATATTTGCTAGGCATGGAGCTAATTATTCAATACCAGCTGTGTATAAACAAGTAAGAAACAACTGAGACCCACACAAGGAGGCAGAAAACCCTGTTTTCCTGATTTCTGGCCCTAAGCTCTTGCATTACACAGTACTAACTTCTCTCCAATGTCTTAATGAGACAATTACTAAAAAACAACTTGCCTTTATTGAAAGTAATGACCAAGCAGGTCAGACATGAACATCCTAATCAGCTTGCTCTAGAACACCACTAAACTTTAGGAAAAGTCACTGCCCCACCTACCCATTAAAAAGATCTTCTCACTCTCAGCCTAACAAGCTTGGCCTCTGTTGTTGTTGCAGTGTTTGTTTTTTAAATAGTGTCTGCCCATGCAGCCTAAACTGGCCTTAAAGTAACTAAGGACCCAAGCTGCCAAACCTGTAGCAATGCTCTAGCCCCAGATTCCCAGGTGTCACACCTGTTCCTCCTTCCAAGAAAGAAAGGTGTCTAAAGCTCAACCCAACCGTGTTCTTTTCACAAACACCAAAGCTTAAATCAGCTGTTTTTCTCCACAGGTTTTGTCCACAATTCCACGATTGGGTTTCATTTTCTGATCCCAAGGTACTGAGTACTGTCATCAGTCTAAGGACACAACCTGCAAAACGAATTGTCCAAGTCCACTTCACAAAGTTAATTTCCTTGCTCCGAAGTATGCTGTTTGTCTAAACCTCACATCAAGATTAACACCAATGACTATTAATTCTGAGATAAGTATATCAATTATCTGTTAAATGTATAATTTTCTGTTTAGAAACTTTAAAAAATTATTAAAATATAATTGCATTATTTCCTTCCTTTCCTTTCCTCCCTCCAACCCCTTCCATCTCCCCCACAAATAGCCTCTTTTTCTTTGGATATTTTATGTATACATATAAATACTATGTATAAATATACAAATACAATTTGCTGATTCCATTTCATGTTGCTTGTGTGTATATGATTTCAGGCTGACCACTTGATACTGAATAACCAATTTTCATGTACCATTTAATGTTTAAAATCTGCTTATACTCTAATACAATCCAGACTTTCATCAAACCAAAAAACACTAAGTAAATTTTGTCAAATGTTTTTACATGTAGACATAAAATACCATACCATATAAAACATACATTCTCTAAAGTGCTCTGAAATGTTGTTTTTCTGTATTGCAATATACTCTCTTAGCCATATGCAACCATTAAAATAAGATAAAGAAAATCCAATGGAAATGAAACTAATGCAAGGTCAAAATGCCACACCACCAATGACTAAATCTCTATAGCATTTTCTCTTAAGATCTGATGCAGAATAGTTTTTAAAAAATAAAAAAGTACTTGTAAAAAGTACTGTATTGAAAACGTGGTATATTTCAGAACACAAATTATGTTACTATACATTCCTAAGCTTAAGAAGGATGTGATGGGTAACTAAAAGCAACCAAACAATAATTTCAAAAATACCTCATTCATGAATATCAGTTATTCATTTCTGTCAACAATTGTCTTACATGATATATATGGGAACAGCATCTGCCTAAAAATTGTCTTGAGAAACTTACCATCATTTTGGCCCTTGCTCTTCATCTCCTCCTTCCATGACAGAATGGTGCTCAGAGGAACATAGTCCCTTATGTATTCTTTGCGTCTCTCCTCTAAGGTCATCTTCAGCAAACGTTCTTGCAAAATAAAAGCAGAATTTCCATTTGTATTTAAATTTTAATCTTGGGAACTACTGAATACATTTATAAATATTAATCATGCTATACTAACCAAAGATTTAAAGAACACCAAAATGCAATCCAATGATTTCATATTTGAGGGTTAAAGGAGGTCAAATTAATTCCACATTAGCAAGAAACGTAAAATCAAAGCTGGTTGAGACTAAGTTCCTAAAATGGCCCAAGAAATAAGTAAAGTCATTTACTCTTCTTATCATCACCGACTAACATGGAGTGCATGCTAGGTGATGCATTTACAGACTTCAGGAAGAATGATTTTTCAGTTCACAGGGCAAAAGAGCAACTGAGTAAGTTACAAAAGAGTATCAATTAAGTAAAGTGCAGACTGCTGAGACAGGTATGTCCAAGCAGTGAGAGCACAAGAAACATAACTACAAAGCTGTTTCCTCAATTTTACAAGGCCATCAACAATGAAAGTGTACTCTCAATTCGGTAATAGCATTATGCTGGTATAATATGCATATTTTAAATATACACTCTAAGATTAAAATATAAAACAGCATCTTAGAATAGCAGATGATGCTGTTTATAAAGAGCTCACTGGGTGCCAAGTGTTTCCAATGTTTGTATCACTAAAATAATTTTTATAACAAGTCATGACTAATGAAGCACAGATAAGTTTCTTCCCACAAAGAGGTAAAAAATGAGGACACTTCAACAAACAGAACAACAATAAAAACAAGGAGACATAAATTGCTTAATGAAACTATAAGATGTTGCTTAATGAAACTATAAGATGTTATCTGGAAGGGAAGGACCACAGAAGAGAAAAATTGTACAGGAACTTGTATGGCATGCTGTATAGCCCTTCTTTTAGGTTTAAAAAAAAAAGACCATTAATTTAAAGTTGAATATGAATATCCTGGTTTGCACACAAGATGATCCACTAGAAAGCAGGAAAACAGTAAATCTACTTATTTTTAATGTAAAAAATAAATTTTTGGTCCTAGAGGGAGGACAGAAAACAGGAAAAAAAGAGAGAAAAGTTGTTAAATTCAACAACAGTTACAAAGAAGAATAATGAAATATAATCTAGTTGTCACCAAGGTTGTGAGGTCCAATGATATAGAGAAAAGAGCTTTAATACATATAAGGAGAAAAATACTATTAAGTTCTACAGGAAGGTCAGAGAAAATAATTATTTTACAAAGCCACTGTCTTATCAACTGGGTGACCAATAGCACTGAAAACAGAGCAGTGGTTGACAGAGTTTGGCCTATGACCTAAATCATTATATGAATCTATATGGTCTTAGATCAATTGCCTCATCTCTTTTTGTCTCAATTCTTCATGAGATAATTACAGGTATTCTTCCCAACTTTCAGGTGAGGCAACTGAGGCAGAGAGGCCAGACAACTCACATAACGTCCCAGAGCTTGTAGACCAGTGCCAACTAGGGTTTGAAATGGGACAACTGTATTTAAAGCTTAACCCTGCATTACCTCATACCATTTTCTACTTTCATGAGTTGGGAGAATCAAATGATAAAACCCATATAAGGCATTAAAAACAGCACAGAGCACAAAACAGGACTTCAATAACTATTACTACGTTCATCATCATCACTCAATCACTTTAGAAACACTAGTTTCATTCAAATATAACTGAAATCCAGGACTCTGGGGTACTGAAAAAAAAAAAAAAAGAAAGTGAGGCCTGATATAGAGGCTCACACGTGTAATCTAGCACTTGGGGGTCAAAGCAAGAGGATTGCCACATGTTCAGGACCAACTCTGGTTACAGAATGAGTTCTAGGCCAACCTAAGCTACACAGAATTAGATCCTGTCTTTAAAAAAAAAAAAAAA